ATTTAATTCAAAGCTATAAGTAATGGTGGGAAATTCTGCAGATATTGATATGGCACCAGATTTGATGCTGATTTATTGCCCCCCCCCTTTTTTTAAAAAAAAAAAACACATAACAGCTGGATATGGCACTCAGTCCACACCACAAGCTTACAGCTCATCCACAGCATATGGCACTAGTCAGACTTCACAGTCATCCTACGGACAGCAGTCATCTTATCCCAGCTACTCTCAGAAGCCAACCAGCACTGGAAGGTAAATGCTAATTTTGGGGGGGGGGGCTAACTCCTGATTTTTTTCTGTTCAGAGTTGCGGGATAGGCTTGGAGAGGGGAACCTGAAGAATCCTAATAGGATAAAGCCAGTTTAATGGATGAGTTTGCATGAGACTAGAGTAGTAGTATTTATGCTTGTTTTGTGAAATCTGCAGTTATGGCACCAGTTCCCAAACTTCCAGTTATGGGCAACCCCAAAGTGGAGGTTATGGCCAACAGTCAAGCTATGCCAGCCAGCAACAAAGCTCCTATGGGCAGCAACCTTCCTACAACCCACCTCAGACCTATGGCCAGCAGAGTCAATACGGCAGCAGCAGCAGTGGAGGAGGAGGAGGTGGCGGCGGTTGTGAGTAGATGTTCTTTTCAGCTCATCTTGGTTTAAATTTTGGCAAAGGGGAAGTCTACGGAATACAATGTCTGATTCTGGTGGAGTGCTGCAAGAGTTTTACCCTTCCTACTCATGTTTTCTTATTGTCAGAAGCCAAGGGTCATGTTTTATAATCCATGATTGTTTTTTTTTTCTTTCTCACTTTTTTCTCCAGCTGGTGGCTATGGCCAGGATCAATCCTCCATGAGTGGAAGTGGTAGTGGAGGTGGCTATGGCAGCCAGGATCAAGGTGGATATGGGGGTCAACAGGATCGCAACCGTGGCAGAGGCAGCGGAGGAGGAGGAGGAGGCGGATATGGTAGAGGTGGCTTTGATCGGAGTGGTGGTAGAGGTGGCAACAGAGGTGGCCGTGGAGGTGGCATGGGGTAGGTGTCTTAATAGATTGTTGTGGTAGAGGGAGTGGGTTTTTTTTAAAAAAAAATCTTAGTACTTGAAAAAAGCTAATTGTTTCTGGGAGGGTACAAAATTTGAAAAATGAAGTTTTGGTGAAAAAGGCTGGGGAAACCCTCTTGTACACAATTGGTGTGCTTTTTTTTGTATGGGGTGAATTCTTAATGGCTGTCAAAAGGTATTCTGTTACCTGAATGTGAAGGAGTTAAAATTACTTTCTGACAAATCAGTCATTGCAGTAACAAGTTGGTGCATGGGGTGAAATACGGCATTTTCATCTTGTAATCCTACTTGGATTTGTTGACAACCTCAAAGGTGCACTTGATATGAGTATCAGTACTGTTCCTCGAAGGTAAATTATACTTCTCTGTGGCCCATGTTACAGTTGTGTACAAGTACATAGAGGATTCTCATACTACAAAATACCATACTACAATTTTTGCAGAAAGGAAATTGATAATAGGATTGTCCTTCAATTCCACCCCAGTGTAAACCTAATGAAGGGCATGGTTTATATGCTGATAGCAACTTTGAGGCTTCTATGATTATTTCAGCAACATGCTTCTGGGCAAATTGTAAGTCAGCTTTTCTTTGGGGTTAATGCTATGGTATAGCCGTGTAATGGCCGTCAAATTGGGTTTAAATGGATGTGTTCGTGTTTACTCATTTCTTGTACTTGTGGTTTACGAGCGACCATGTAGGATCCTCAAACTGTTCTT